ATGAAAATACACACAAATATTGGAAACGAGATTTTCGTATAATAGCCTATTGTTATAGATCAATTAGATTGAACGACGATTTCCAAGTCGAGCAGATAGAAATAAATAATTTAAAAAATATGTAAAATTGACGCTGAAAAGGATAGAAAAATAGGAAATAATTGTTTATGAAATCCACTAGAATATTTAAACCAAATCTATAATTCTAGCAAATAAATTCACAAGAACCAACTTTTCCTATAAGAAACGTCGCCAATATACTCATGATCCGGTATCGAATTCCGTTGGTGCGTTAATGAGACCTAGCAAGGTCGAAATTGCAGTCAAGCCTGGGTCAGATAAATATTTGAGAGGCAATAGCAAATGGAATTAAATAGCATCGTGGGGTCTGCTCGTCTCATTGTGGAAAAAAGTCACTATCTGTCCTTAAATCCCCTTAAGCAATCTAGAGTGACTCTTTTTTAAGATGAGAATATTTTCTTGTGAATGAATTATGCAGCATAGAAATTAGATAGATTAATGATATTTTCTATTAATAATGACAAAGTCGGCATGCGAAGAAGACTTGAAATTGATATAACATAAGCGATTTTAAGAAACAAGGGATTTAAGGGTATTCATCAAAGCAGGCATGACAACAATTATCACCTGAAACAGAAAGACACGGAGGCAAGCTTAATTCACGTGTACTCGCAAAATTCGGCAGACACAGTGTCCCAGGCTCTTCATTTTTGACAACTTTGTCAAGGTGATCATTGATTCGTCTCCTCGCGCGGCCTCGAGGCTCTGTCGTGGCTACAGGTAGCCTGGGTTCAGAGCTCCAATCAGGCATCAGATCTGGATTGAGTCGAAGAATCGCAGGACGCGGCTTGGAATAAGGCTTCTCTTCCGTTGGCATAGAAGAAGTTTGATAGCTGGAAGGCGTCCATTCACAAGCAAAACTAGCTTTTTCATTGATTTTGGAGTTGCTAGTACTAATTGCTGAAGCAACATCTATCGGATTAGAACCGAGCATAGTAGTGGAAGTTAGATTATTGATGGCTGAGGTTGGAGTGTGAGTTGAGACAGAGAGGATGCTTTGGTTTCGATTTGCAGTGCGGGTGAGAATACCTGGTGGCGGCTGGTCAAACAAAGCTTCGGTAAGACTGGGCGTAGCCAAGCGCTGCCAATGCTGCAAAACAACAGAGCCATCAATCGGCTTAATGAGTTGTAGACACCGCTTAGGCGACCTAGAAAGGAAGAAGGATAAAGAATTCTTTACCGAATTGATACATTTAGGTTAATAAAGCATTAAATATTGAGGTGCAAATGTCTGACATTTGCATAATTTTAGTGATATATTAATCCTTCTTTTTTATAATTTTATAGTTGTTTCTAAACAAATCACGTCTTTGGATGTGATAAAGCTGAGTTATGAAGAAAAACTAGGTTTGGAAGAAATGTACAAATTTATTATGACATGGCATTCAATTTCGAAAGAACTGTTTGGAGAAAAAGATGTGAAATGATCATACCGGAAACGAAAGGATTGCCAGGGAGTGAAGGCTATTGGGTTGTGCGAAGAAGTCATAGGTTTACTGTGGTCGCAGAACGGTGAGCTGGGGATTTCTGAGCTGAATCCAAAAGTCTCCACTCTCTAGAAATCGTTCTTCTGTTTCTGATGAGACCATCTCAGAGATGTTTTCCAACCAACTTTTCTTTCAAATTGGAAAGTCCTATCACAATATCCTTATAGTGCATTTCCGCATTCGGATCGTAAGCTAAATGGTATCTAGACTCAGAGGATGGCTTAGTTTTTATCAAGATTTATTCTTACGGGTTTCTTCTATCAGGCTTACCTCAAGAGATAAATGTTTTGCCTTCGAGATCCATTTATGTATTGTAAGGACAACACAAGTATTTTAATCGAAGATATCAAGACCAAGATGGTGTGTCCTTTTTGTGTGGTCGCAGTCTCCTTTCGTTTTATAGAAGTTGTTTAACCTTGTTTACGCAACTTGGTCATATTGGTAGGAAGACTTAGAGGAACGCATCTAGTCCGAAGTCCATTGTATGCATGATCATTACCTGTCAGAGCGTAGACGTGGTACATTCCCAGACGTTTCGCCGGCATCATTAGTGCGTATTGCAAGTTTTAGCACCACATTACAACTCGTCAGAGACAAATGAAACCAATTCTTTGCTAAACAATCGTGTTGTCTCTCATTCTACTCTGGGCCAATCATTAATCCTATATCTTCGTATCAATCCTTCACTATCACAATTTTTCATTGCTCATTCAAATTTAATGTGGTGCACCCTTATGAGCGGCTTTCATTAGAACCCTCCACACTCCACACTGGCGTTATCACCCCCCTTCCCCCTTGTGCTGGGAATGTTGATCAGGGTATGCCATATTGTTACGCAGCCCTCCTACCAATATTACCAAGTTGCGAAAACAATGTCAAACAACTTCTATACAAGTATTTTATTTGAGCCACCAGATATAAAGTTCTTTGAACAGCTTTTTCAGCCTCTGCGAAGCTTACAAATAAGATTAAGTAACTTCAAATAGTACCATACTCTTACCAGTTAATTGTCACTTCGTATATGTGAAGAAAAGATGGGTTCCGGGGAAGCCCTCTTATCTCAACGCATATGGAACCACGCCAAAATAAACATCCAAATTGAAGGATCGAGCTGTAATATATGTATGCTTTAGCCTTAGCTGCTTCATGCAGCAAATTCACCTACTTGCAAGCAGCTAAATAGCCAACCAAATTATTAATTCCAGATTAAGATTGCAAAACTATGTGTGGGAAGTGGGATATCAACCAGCCAACCAAATGGGCGTGATATTTCGATAACTTTTCTGATTCGGACAATGACTGCCCCATAAAAAACGAAAGATAGGAGCGGATTCATAAAGGCCGTAGGATAATGCGGCGAGGACTCCCTTGCACAAATGAACAGTCACAACTCCAGG